TTAATAGTCAGAATCACTTAATGAGCGCTCACCCCTGCACATACCATACCCATATACCCCACCCGTTCACAGGATACCCCAGTGGCTTTAGTGCCAACACGAAATAATTGCAGTATAAATAATATGATCATCAATAATAACGTATAATAGTTTTTATGGGTTTTTTCAAAACTTTAACATAATTCATTCAGTGGAGCGATCGGGTAGCCCAGTGGTTAAAGCGTTCGCTCGTCACGCCGAAGACCCGGGTTCGATTCCCCACATAGGTACAATGTTTGAAGCCCGTTTCTGGTGTCCCCCGCCGTGATATTGCTGGAATATTGCTAAAAGCGGCGTAAAACCATCATGGCTCACTCTCTCATTCAGTTTTAGCATGCACTGCGTTTGACATAAACTGCCGGGGAAAACAAGTATACACCATGTTTGGTGGTGTCGGAAAATGAAACAAACAAACAAACAAACAAACAAACAATGATGACGTATTTGATACTGGTATCATAGTCGATATTACATGTATCACATCAATGAGGGGCGGTCGGATAGCCTAGTGGTTAAAGCGTTCGCTCGTCACGCCCAAGACCCGGGTTCGATTCCCGACATGGGTACAATGTGTGAAGCCCATGTCTGGTGTCCCCCGCCGTGATATTGCTGGAATATTGCTAAAAGCGGCGTAAAATCAAACTCACACACACACACACACACACACACACACACACACACACATCAATGAATGTCTGACAACAGGTGACGTCACATGAAGTCGCAAGGAACATGGGGGTCGTAATTTCACAGCACACGGTAATGAGCAGAGCGAAGTGTGTATTTTTAAGGTATATTTTTTTGCCCGACACTTCAGTTTGCGTAAAGTCACGTATATATTGTTATTAAAACGTCATTGCAATATCGCTATACAAGTGCTACAGCGGCGTAAAACAATACCCAATCACTCAGAATAAAACATAATTCCATTTTAATTAATTTTAATCTTGTTATTCAAGGTTTACTTATACATGTGCACATGAGAGAGAGAGAGAGAGAGAGGAGAGAGAGAGAGAGAGAGAGAGAGAGAGAGAGAGAGAGAGAGAGAGAGAGAGAGAGAGAGAGAGAGAGAGAGAGAGAGATTCCTACGTCAGAGATATAGATGGATAAATTCTTTTGCACATGTGTATATATATAATGTTTATATAATAATGGGATTTTCGTATCTACAAACATGTTTACATATTTACAGCAACATTTTGGGGAAATATCAGATGTAAAATTGCACTTGTTGCTGTATCCACTCATTATTTGTGTGACCACTCTCCATAAAAGGACGATCTAAATTTAAGATGATTTGAACAGGCACTAAGTGTATTATTATATTAGTATTAGTAAATATATCATTTCTATCGTTATCATAATGATCATACCGTTATTCTTTCAATGAACCGCGAGAAGTAAATTAAAGACAGAGTTGCCCCCCTTTATCACATAGCTGGCTCGCAGGCATTTGTAGCTGAAAACAAATATTATAAACATATTGTTTATTGATCCCAAGATACATGGGTCATCAAAAGATATGTTTACGTGTATACAGCTACGAATTTCCTTTTTAACTTGAATCTTCACCCTCAATGTCAAATATTTAATACACACAAGGAGTTGCTATATGGCTGAAATAATGCCGAAATGCTGAAATAATTTTAACTCACTCACCCAATACACAATGAACGTCGGTATGTAACAGGCAAGTTGACCCCGTCCCCGTGTTGTGTTATAAATTCAAAAAATATAATTATGAGATTTTTGTCATGAAGAAAAACTTGCCAAACTCAATAAATCATTATTGAAAAGATAACCCTTTGTTTATATTGTGATTTTTTTTGACAATTGTGTTGATGTTTAGGTCGTCAAGGGGCATGGAGCTTACGTTTTAATGTTCACAAACATCCTATTTTGTATTTTATTATTAATTCTACATAAATTACCCCTTGAAAACGTTTAGCCATGAGAACGCAAATCTGGACTCGCGTACTTCCTATATACATGCTGGAACATTTGGCGTTTACAGAAGAACCATATAGCAACCGTTCACTATGAGTATCAAAACACCCGTGTTTCATGTGTTCTCTACCTCCATCCCGTATACATGGATATATGTCTCTATTTGGGTTATGGTTTCCTTGTCGCACCATCACCAGATGAAAAGTCAGCTTGATAACCTTTGTATTGCAGAGAAAAATAAAGCGTCCTGTGAAATAAAAATCAAAATCTACAAAACACAAACAAAATCCTAAAATACTGCGTATATGCTTGCGGTGCAAATATAATTAAAAATTAAAAGCAATTGTATACGCATGCAAGTATGTTTTATAAGTGCGTTGGACCCGTGAAGATTCCGGGGTAGAATAGGTCTTCCGCAACCCTTGCTTGCCCTAAAAGGTGACTATGCTTGTCGTAAAAGGCGACTAACGGGATCGGGTGATCAGGCTCGCTGACTTGGTTGATGCATGTCATCGATCCCAATTGCGTGGATCGATGCTCATGATATTAATCACTGGATTGTCTGGTCCAGACTCGTTTATTTACAGACCGCCGTCATATAGCTGGAATATTGCTGAGTGCGGCGTTAAACAACAAACCAACCAAATTATAAGTGCGTTGCATGATTTTATGCAAGTTATCTATTTATATTTTACGAGAGCTTCTAATGCTTCCGACAGAAGTAACATCCGAAGCTGTATCGGAATTACCTTGTTTGTTTGTTTGATGTTTTACGCCACACTCAGCAATATTTCAGTTATATGACGATGGCCTGTAAATATCTGAGTCTGACCAAGAGCACCCAGTGATTGATATTATGAACAACTATCCACGCCGTCGGGATGAAATGGCACAGGGCGGGACTACCCGATCCACGAAGTGGCCTCTCATGACCATGCAGCATACATGTTTCTGCACGGGAGCCAGTTTTTACCCAAAATCCCCACGGGGTAGACGTTATCCTAGGGCTAATCTATTGCCCACAATGCCACTCATCCTGATGGAACGAGCAGTGTGTCTCCCGTTGCCATGGTAGACAATTTGTTGAAAATGTAATGAGTAAGGACATATACAGTTCACGATTTGTGCTGCATCTTCCCAAATAAACAATGTGTTGGTTATGAGTTTTGTGCGCTCTTCCACTCGCGTTTGTTACAGAGCCTGAGGACCGACATTTTATAACTCCCCGTCTCGCCATTAATACGCCTGTGTTATTAAAAGAACGTTCGAGTTTGTTCATTTATTATTATTAAGTTATTGATGGATGAACATTATTATTTTTTCGCTTAAGCATTCTTTTCTTCATTCTTTTACAAATTTCTTACAAATGTAATTAGTTTGATTGAAGAAATGCCTCTTACAAACACATATATACATCATTATTTTCCTTAACAGACTTGTATTCCAATATTATTATGAATAACTTTTACATGAATATTTGAAGTTCTCCTCCAGTCAATCATGTATCTATTTGCCATGAACAGTAAGAAAATAGGAAAAAACCCTATCTCCATTTTATTATAATAACAAGTAAATAACATCTCAAATTACCTAAAACAGACAAATTAAAGGCAAAAAAAATCACTCTATCACTGGTGCTCTTTCAAGTTCTATAACTGTCATACATCATATCAGTTTAAATAGCACACAGTGCCCTCGGTTTAATGAATATGATTTTCGCTTATCAGATGTCAGAAACCAAAAATATGAGCAGTGTCATGTTATCACACACATCAAACGACTCCTACACTATTCAGGGAATTGCATTCATCCCTCTGATTGAGACACAGCTGTAGTGTTCTGCTGGGAAATTGGACACATCGGGAGTGGACATGGTAAGCAGATCACTGTGTCATATTTCTGTAAAATTAAACATCAAATTGATCAACATAATGGGCATTTTGTATGTCTATATTGCTGTTATATTGCTGAAATCATCATTTATGTAAGTATATACAAGTGTGTCAGGTTATTGAAATAGATCAAACTAAGGCGTAGATTTACAAATCGATAACTGATAATTGATCAAAGCACGTGTATTAAGTTGGGCATATTTTTGTCATGTAGACAATTAACTGATATTGCAGCAATACTAACCGAAAATACTATAACACACACACACGCGCGCACGCACACACACACACGCACACACGCGCAGGCGCGCGGTATTGTAGATATACCCACACGAGATACATATTTGTTTGTAGTAGACACTTATATGTTTATTACTCCAAAGTTTGTTAGTGTGATAAAAACTGGTGTCTGCATACGCGTAAAAGATAAGAGATACAAACTAATGTCATAATCAACTATTCTTAAACGATCTTTAAACATAATATATATAAATCTGGTATATTTGGGAAGAAACAAAACTAACTGTTTTTAACTTGATCTGTCTACAAACAGGATACAAAACTTGGGAAAAACCCGTGTGAGTGAGTGAGTTGGGTTTAACGCCGCCTTGAACGGCGTGTCAAGTTTAATGTGGGAGGAAAACCCGTAGTGTTGCAGGTCTGAGACGTTTACCACTAAGTTGAAACCCACGAGCACGGGTATGGTGCTGACAAACCTTGAAACGTAATCATTCAAACTAACGACCATAGGTTTCTCCCCCAACCCCCCAAACGAACAAAGACATAAAACTAACAAGCACACACACACACACACACACACACACACACACACAGAAACGAAACGTTGGAGAATATTAATGCTTATTGTACTATAGGTTTTTAAGTCATATAGATTATACTATATTGTACTCAATTAACTTCCATTCATAGATTTGGAAAAGCATATGCAGTAAGAAGATATACATTTGTTTGTTTGGTTATTGCAATCGATATAAATCGCGATGCTATGAGAGATAAGTAGAACACGTCTGAACGTATGAAGTTGAGCCGAGTTCGTAACACTCACTAATCCGAGATTAGCTTGCTTTCCTTCATGACCTCGCGCTGCACATGAAATCTCGCGAGTTCTCCTTAGAGACAGCATAGCTACCGGAGAGCGTCAAGATGGCGGCACTGAGCATGGGGGCGTTTGGTCTATCTTATCAAAAGTATCTGCAAGAACAAGGAGATCGCGAAAGAGAGCTGAATCGAGGACCTGGTGCGGTGTGGGTAACTAAACGATATATACCAACGGATCTCCGTGTCACTGCACCTGTGCCAAGACACAAATTTCTGGCCCCTGCGGATCTTCCCACGGTGGAAGAACACTGGCTCCCCGTGGGAGAACCCCCTCTCAGAAGTTTTGACAGGAGGGAGGAAAAGATGATCTACGCGTCCCACCCGTCTTCCAGAAGCGAGGAGTGGTCCACCCTGAGACAAACTCTACCATCTAGGGGGGGTCACAAGAAACCCTGTCCCCCAAATTGGGGGACCGGCACGAGCCTCCCACCCATTGTCACCGAGAGGACGGTCAGTCGATTCCCAATCGTCAACAGTCCGATGACAAGGTACGTGGGTTTTATTTTTCTTTGTAGTTTTGTTTATGTGTTATTGATAATTTAGCATTCAATCCCTCTGGCAACAAAATAAATTGAGAAATCAGTCAACGTAAATGATATTCGTGATACAATGAAAACACATAAGGGACTGGTAATGTATTAGGCCGTTATTACAAGGGAGGCGGTAAGATTAGATAGAGAATAGAACTGGTATTATACTATATATAGATAAGAATCACATTATTTTTGGATTTAAAGAAAACGTAATGGCGTCTTGAATTTAATTTATATTGCAACAAAGCAATACATCTACCCACTAAAGTGCTCAAACTCTCTCCCTAATATTATCCAACTAAATAAAATATCTCTTAACCTTATTCCATACGCACAAATACGTCTCATACACGAAATGTGAATACGATAAATTAATGGCCTTCTGGTCGCCATGTCACAACCTTTTTACATAACCATACTGTATTGATAAGTTTGCCTATCCTACATGCATTTAATATGTATCACAATAGTAATAATAAATTACCAGTCCCTTAACTCGAATTACAGCGATATATTCCTATGTTATTGGTCATTGTGGCACGTTATTTTGCCACAAACAATAACACTAGCTACATCGTCTTCAAGGGTACTTCAAAACTAAAGGAGCTCGACTATTGAACAGTAATGCATGTAGCTATCCTCCCCATACGGAAGTGTTGCGAATCTACACAAGAACTAGTTCACAATCGATTTCTTCACTTGCAGATATGTTGATGACATGCACCTTACCAACAGACTATTCAAGCTTCATTGAACACAGCTGAAGCCCCAAGTCTTCCATACCACTCCACGCGGAACTGTAAACACCGACATCTTGTGTAGAAAATGATATTCTACCAAGCTCTATCAAACTTTCGTTTATCCGAACCTTGTTGCCCCATGGTCGTCGGTTATGGGTCGAGTATTCATGTGTTGTGAACGGTTATATGTGGGTATTAATGCTGGTGAATGATGTTTTGTTGTTAATATGTTTATTCATGGCTCTACTTGCTGTGACATTATTGCTTTTACATACGATACAGTATTATTAAACTATACCTGCCAGTATTATAAGTCACTCTGCAAATTAACCGTAGGGAATTTGTTTCAATTGGTTTTGGATGTGTTTGGTTGTTGATTATTATGTTTAGATTTAATCGATAATATTGTTCTTGCCATGGTGATTTGACGTTATTAATAATGTATTTTTAAGGTTTAATAGTCTGGATCTAAGCCTCATCAGTATTATTGCAGCCACCATAACGGTAACAACCACAGTGTTCATGCAGTGTTTAGTTGGTGTGTGACATTCTGTGCTGAAAATTCACACGTTTTGTTCTTGTGGGATTAGGTGGTCAGTGATTAATAGTTTATGCTAATACTAAATATTTAACAGTCATTGTATTGTCGTACTATATTGCACATGGGATCACTGCTCTTTCACATAATCATATATTATGAAGTAGCGTATCATCCTCCTTTTTAAATAGAAATACATAACTTGAGATATATGCTTAGAGTTGCGTGACTATATATCAAGTACAGTAAACTACGGTTATAACGAACACGCTTATAACCAACTAACGGATATAACGAACTAACGTTTTAGTCCCGACTATATGCTGTAGTTATGCTGTATATATATGCTTATAACGAACTACGGTTATAACGAACTAAAATTAGTAGTCCCTTTGAGTTCGTTATAACCGTAGTTTACTGTATTTAAATTAAACCAAGATTGGTTATACCAATTGATGTTTTCGCCTTGTTTGGAATCTATTTGGTCTCTTACAAAATCAATCGATGTTGCAACATTATATAACCAAGTATACGCAACCGTTATTCAAAATGTGCCTTAAATTATATATTACGTATAATACTGCATATCAACGAGCTCTTCAACATCCTACTTATGAAACGCTTATGCTTATCCTCTTTTATGTATAATTATTGAGTTATTGAAAAGTAATACAACTGTCAGTATAATGGTCATTGATTGTCCCGTCTACTGATAATATCGGCTTCTCATCGTGTTCCTTTGATCTCAGCCATCTAGTCATTATTCTTGCAACTGCTTTCTATCAACCGCTGATCTGTCTATCGTGTTTGATGTTACGTAGCTATGACAACTGTCTGTTGCTTGTGTTGCTTGTGTTACTTGCAACGTATATGTGCAAGTTTCGGCATTTTGGAATTTAACTTTAAAAACCTTTTTATATTTTGATTCTTTTCATTTCATTTGTATTTTATATGTGTCTATGTTGGTGAATAAAAAATACATTTTCACTTAGTGTTGTTATATTATCTACGCATGCATCTCCGGATGAGCTAAGTGAAAGAAATGCATATTCGCATTCCACTGTATTTGTCATTTAATTACTTAAATAGTATGTGATCATGCAATCAGCTGAGTAAAGGATATCAACAACACGTTAACCTCTGCCTGGTGGGCAGAACAAGGTCCTGGTATCCAATGTTTATATGGCAAGAGCCGAGAAAAAAAAGAGGAGCGGGTGTGTTACACATCTTCTTTTCAAGGGCGTAAACTGACTACAAAAGTCCAAACTTGACTTATAATATAAGGGTAACGCTATTTTTCAGGGCATTATCATTTGCAGAAGCCCGAGGTCTTCTATTAACTGCCCGACGAAGGGCTTCTGCAAATGATAATGCCCTGAAAAATAGCGTTACCGTTATAGCTAAAATGGATGGAATTTGTTATCAAATAAAAGAAACAACAATATCGGTTTTGAAACATTTACTGCAATCAACACGAATGTCACTGACCTACTTTTACAAATATGGGAACGTCATAGAACAAACCAGATGACGTCACTATTCAACGTGACGTCACCTATCCCTATCCTATGACGTCACCTAACAACGGGCGGGATAATGGCCCGTCGTCAAGCATTATGAGGGCATTATCAAGTTACAGGGGCCCGCTCATTTCTGATAACATGCGGACGGTTTTATGATAATTCTATCCATTTTAGCTATAAAGTCAGTTAACTCCCTTGCCTCGGAAAGATGGTAGTTGCAATATGTGGATCGTTGTTCATGCACCCCATACTGGCCGGCCCGATTCAGATAAAATTATTCTGTACAGGTTTGATTAATGAGTGAGTATGGTTTACGCCGATTTTAGCAGTATTCCAGCAAAATCACGGCGGGGAACACCAGAAATGGGCTTAACACATCATATTCATGTTGGAAATCGAACCCGGGTCTTCGGCGTGATGAGCGAACGCTTTAACCACTGGGCTGCCCCAACGGGATTTATTAAGCTGCATCGAATTATCATTTAACGGCATACATAAGTTTATTTCGGAGACTATATATGAGTACACTATTCAACATGCACATGGTCATAATACATGTTCTCACATTGTTTTCAGTGATTGCAATGGCGATTTATAATACCGAAGCTACACTTGTCATCATCCTGGGCAATCTAGTGTATTAACCCCTGTTGTATTATGCCATATATCGTGTACCCATTCGCCACCATAGCTTCGTTTTGGGTTTGATACAAACGCTTAAAATAGCCGTCCAAACAAATTACACCGATGAGCGAGAGAAATTTTGTGCACTGATATGAGCGAGTGTGACGTCACTTCCGAAACGATGCTAATTGTGGCGAGTGGTTCCAGGGTATTTATCATGATGACCTCGCGTATAAAAACTCAAACCACCTCGCTTCATTATATCAATATATACATAAAATTTATTCTGCACAAACACGGAACACACAATACAACATACAAAGAGTTATTCAATGTTTTACATTGTGAATCAATCAATTACGACAGGATACCATCACATGACATGACAAACTACATCATATGACATTGTCTATATATAGCACTACCGGTATACTACACTGCTTAAACCATTAACGATTGTCGCCCTATTGCCAAATTATGTTCGCTTTTCGGCGTCTTCTAGCTTAGATGATGTCCTGCGTTCGGTGAAAAATGTCTTGAAGACCATAACTTGTCCAAAGCCTGTCAGCATAACAATGACTGCTTGGGCGATGGACCACCACATGACGCGCCCGTTTAGTTGTTCGGCAATATGGCGACCTATAGATTCGCGCAGACGATACCTTGTTTGGAACTCTTTAACATGAGACATCATAACATGAATTTCGTCCATAGACATTTCAGCAGCAACTCTGACTGTTGGGACCTGTTTTCCGCCAGCTTCCTTTGAAAGGGAGTCCACGCTGAATGGTCGGATACTGAAGAAGATTGTCTTATGAGATATGGAGGAAAATTCATTATTGAAACAATATTTCCATTCACCCAATGTCGGTTCCATTGTGACAATGTCCCCGGATATTTTCTCTTGCTTGTACACTATTTTCCCAGCAGGGGAAATCACTTTGACGTCCACATCGTTGTTGCCGCCGCGAATCACTTTAAATTCAAACAGTATTTTAGAAGTATCTGTGAATATTTCCGAGAAGCACGTCTTTTCCTTGTCGGGCAGTTCAAACGTGTAATCACCCCCAACGAATCTTTTCCCGAGAGCAGACGACACCAGAAAAGCACAGACAAAACACACGTTGAATAAACGGCGATAATCCATCTTGTGATGCCTTAGAAGTGTTGCAGATCCAGGGGTGATTAAATCTCCCAGCTGATCAAGTTTATCATAGGTATCACACCCTTTTATCTCACTCTCGCTTAATAAGACCAGTGGAATTTTGCATGCCGTCTGCCACGACAACTTTACACGTAGTATGCCCTATACGCTTCTATAATTCAATAACTTTACCGGCGTCAACAGAAATTCTATTGGGTGAAGCCAACCTGCCACCTTTGAATGGTCAATATGTATTCTGAGAGGACCAGCTGTTGCTTGGATCGAAAGATGGTAACACTCTGCGCGGGCCGGATCCAGGGATCGGACGTCTATATTATTCAAAACTAACATTTTACATTTGCCGTATCATTATGATCATGTTTTGTAAGGCAGTTTACAGTTGTTAATTTGTTATACAATTCCCGTGTGGTGACAGCTGCAGATTGTGTAGATCCATGTTGATTTAAATTAAGTTATACCGAGCACAGACAAACACTTAGTCCCCGAAAAAAAATATGCATCTACAAAATATAAAATCAAATCCAAATGGAGCCCTGTCTGTTATTGTTCAAAACAACCTTAGGCCTAAGACTGTCCTAAGTCTGTGTTAATGCATGGGAGTTACGATCACTTTAGCGCTAATATTGCTTTGTACAACGACGCCCAGAATAATGCTTAAGGCAATCTAGACTTGCCAAACCATTCTAGACTTGAGTCGGTTTTAGTATTTATTCTTAAGAGTCTGGGCTCATTTGCACAAAACGACCGGAGCGCTACGACGATCGTAACTGACATACTTTAACATAGACTTACGATAGTCGTAGCGCTTAGAGCGCTTTGTGCAAGTGGACCCTGGGAGACAGACTAGATTGAGCATAATATTTAGATAATCACCTACTAGCTCATTCGTGACCAACTCGTGTTATTCCGGGACAAGCCGAATAGCGATTACGGAAAGAGGCGAGTGGTGACGAATGCTACTAGCTACGAGGAAATGCGGATATCACTATCTTTGTTTTTCAACTTTCAACATTATTTCAAAAGGGATACATAACCAATCATTCCGATTGGCAAATAGGTAAATCGATATTTTGCCAATAGAAAGTTAGAATATCATTGGTTTCTCAGTCAATCTATCGCTGGAAAAACGTCACATAAAACCGACTTTGACGTCATGAACAATGAATGACGTCATCTTCAATACGTGCGTTGATATGACGTCAATATTCGCAATATTTTGTTAATGCTACACGACCGCCCATTCTATTATCAGCCAATCACTACAAAGCAGACCGTTAGTGGTCATGGCCTAGAATCATAAACGCAAAAGAAAATGCTTGGTTAACCAATCAAATGCCACGGAATCACTTCCAATATATTTTCTGAAGTTTGCACGATCATGCGGCTTTTCCATTGGACGAGAGGACGGTCACATGACCGCGTAATTGACGTTAATTGAAGAATTGACTTTCACTTTGTGTGAACCTTCAAGAAGCGAGGACCAAACTGTATGACGAATCGTTCAATATCAAGAAATGTATGATGATAATTCAGATAAACGGCTGTGGCCTGTCACGTTTTGCGTTCGTTTGAGATTCTTTCCGCGATCGGATTCCTATTTGTTAGTTCAAAGGAAACTACTCTCACTTGTTTACGAGATGTATCCAGAATCCTGAATTTGTTGTGCTGTATTTTTTTACATGGGATCATCTTCCCGAGACAAGGGCTTTTTGTAGTCAGTTAACTCCCTTGCCTCGGGAAGATGCTTAGGATTTATTAAATACTGCTCTTAATTTAAATATGTATACATTGACATCAAACAACACGTACTGTCACTATATATACATTTAATTAAGAGTAGTATATTTAATAAATCCAAATAATACATCAAGCAACACGTACTGTCACCTGCTTGTCGTAAGGGTCGACTAACGGGATCGGGTGGTCAGGCTCGCTGACTTGGTTGATGCATGTCATCGATCTCAATTGCTTGGATCGATGCTCATGACATCAATCACTGGATCGTCTGGTCCAGACTCGATTATTTACAGACCGCCGTCATATATCTGGAATATTGCTGAGTGCGGTGTAAAACAACAAACCAACCAACGTACTGTCACGTAGGCGTGCAATAAAGGTAGACTATAATGTGGTGGAAGTTAAGGATGGGTTCGCAACCGTTTAATTTCATTTGTCGAATATGTAAATCGATTTAAACAACTGTCACTCACAGATTCTGTTTGAGATAGCCAATGTAATCCTAAACCGTCGTGTTTTAACAGTATATCAATTATCAGCAGATGATTTCATATAGACTCACGGGAGGCACATGTTAGGATGATTTGTGAAACCGGTGTGACTTCAGACTAAGGCGACCTTCATTCTAATCTAGTGGTTAGGGTGAACTTTAGCTAAGGTTGTTTTGTGAAACGGGGCCCAAACAATGAAAGATGGAGTGAACTGAACAATGTTGGACAAACCTGGAGCTCTGAGGTGGAAAATTCAAAAAAAAGTGTAGTCTATTCTCTCTTGAAACCACAATTTGAATTAGAAAATTATCTGACGTCCCTACCCCTAAATAAAGCTATCCCTCTACTTTTATTTCGTACTTCATGCCACCACTTACCAATTGAAAAAGGAAGATGGAATGGGATACCTATTTGTGAAAGAAAATGTAAACTGTGTTTTATTGATGATATTGGAGATGAATTTCACTATATTTTTAAATGTCCATATTTTACTAAAGAAAGAATTTTGTATATCCCACCTACATATTCTAAAAGACCTAATATGATTAAATTTCAAAGACTTTTCACTTGTAAAGAGATATCTGTATTAAAAAACCTTAGTAAATTCTGTAAATATGTAATGCAAATTGTAAAATCTTCCAGCTAACCACATATCCGCTATTATAATGTGTATTTTGCTGTCATTTTGTACCTCATATGTCGAGGATCTCGGCCTGAGCGTAATAAAGTTCTTTTCTGTTCTGTTCTGTTAATCGCACAGACGAAGAGAACCCGACCTGTCTTACGACCCTAGTCATTGTCAAACAATCCAATAAGAGGTGACATCTGTGACTATTGATGTATCACAAATAATACTGTGAGTGAGTGAGTCGGGTATACGTCGTGTTATAGAGAGTCACGTGCACGTGTCTGCTTGTGTGAGAAGAAAGCCCAAAGTGACACAGTTCAATAAAGGTTTAAATTATCACGAAGCTAAACCCAGCATGACAACTGTGGACCACTTTGTAAAACCAGAGAGCTGACAAACGAACACCCCGTAGGGATGTCAGTCAGGAATATAGGTCCCCTGCTGCCGTAAGAGGCGACTGAATGAACCGGATGGTCAGAGCGGATCCAGCAGTTTTAAAAGGAAGGGTTCCAAACCACCACCTGGACAAACACCCCCTCTATAGATCCGCCTATGTTGATGCATGTCATCTTATCCCAATTGCGCAGATCGATGCTCTTGGTGTCAATCACTGGATTATCTCGCCCAGACTCTTTTACTTACAGACCGCGGTCATATCGCTGGAATATTGCTGAGTGCGGCGTTAAACAACAAACAACAACAAAATGACCAACCAAGGATCATAATCGGGGCGAACCTGACACTCGAATCCACGATAATTAAGTACATGTAGTGTCTCCTTTGGCAAGTGGCTTTGTTCTAAATATGCGATCCTGTTAATCATCAAGCGCCTCACAGGCAGCTTTGACTGTATACTCCTGAGGGAGCTGAGAATGAAAAAAGCAAGCGCAAACTGATCCAATTTAAATGTAGCGTTTCTAGCATACATTGCTTATCGAGTTATATCTACTTAATAAGCGGATTACTTGTGTCACTGTGTCACCGCCTCCGTGGTCTAGTGGTAGAGCGTCCGCCCGGAGAGCGGAAGGTCCGGGGTTCGATCCCCGGCCGCGTCATACCAAAAGACGTTAAAAGATGGTACTTGTTACCCTGTCTGGCGCTCGGCATTAAGGGGCTAAAACAAGGACTTGGAGTGAGCGAGTGAGTGAGCTGGGTTTAACGCCGCTTTTAACAGTATTCCAGTAATATCGCGGCGTGTCAGCTTAATGTGGGAGGAAAGCCCGAAGTGATGCAGGTCTCAGACGTTTACCACTTCGGTGAAACCCACGAGCACAGGTATGGTGCTGACAAACCTAGAAACATAATCGGGGCGAACCGGGATTCGAACCCACAATCATAGGTTTCTGGCGTGCCCAAGGGACGCAACTCTGCACAGCGAATCGCGGCGCCTTAGACGACTGGGCTACCCGTGCCCCTCAAAACAAGGACTGGTCGGCTCGGAGTGTGTACTGTGTCTGAGTGGGGTATTCATGTTAAACTGCGGCATGGTATCTCAGTGAGCTAGCACTATAAATCGTGCATGCACGTCGCTAAATAAGTGCAAAATCTTGGACGCGACGTGAAACCCAATTTCACCTCACCTCACATTATAGAGACTTAACTGTGGCATTTGAAATAACAACATCTATATAGATGTGTTTGTATTAGCTCGGTTTTAAGACAAAAACAACACTAACAGTCTGTTTAAAGTTGACTCATATTGGCTGGAAGGTGGGGAAGGGGTGTAGCTTTGTATCGACTATTTATTTTAGTTTACATTGGGAATTATGATTGATATCGTAAACACGAAGGAACATTTATAGAATAAACAACGAACTACGGGCGATTATGGATTATCTGCGCCCAGCTCTTGCAACCCCGAAATTCAACATTGATAGAATAAACAAGCTACATGGAATTGTGGATTGTCTGTCCAGAGCTCTGAGGGTTTGGCGGGAGATTTACAACATTCCAGTTGGCTTTCTTTACATTTCTTATTGTCATTTTAATGTCTGAAATGTCAAATCGTGAAGCGAAATAAGTCATATCGCAAGTATCGAAATATTTCAGGATACCTAAAAAATTAAATGTTTCTGGGAGGGTAGTAGGATTTTTATTTTTCATTGAAAACTAAAGTGATACGGAGGAACACACATGGCACATATTGAACTCGGCTCTTTAAATCAATGTCAGTTGGCACGAATGTCAGTTTATTGATAGCAGAGTATACTCCATATTTGTAATTTCACATTGGCAATAAAAGAATGAGGAATATTTCCCTTTATTAAGCGAACTCTATCTTATACCCTTATGGGTGATATTTCATTTTACTATATTGTG